AAATTAAAAAAAATTTTTTTTGAAGATTTATTTGTTTGAGAGAGAGAGAGAAAGAGAGAGAAGAGGGGCAGGGGCAGAGGGAGGGGGAGAGAGAGTCTTAAGCAGACTCCTTGTTGAGCTTGGAGCCTGACATGGGGCTCAATTTCGCGATCCCGAGATTATGACCCGAGCCAAAACCAAGAGTTGGATGCTTAACCAACAGCGCCACCCAGGTGCCCCCACAGCCTTTTAAAAAATTGTTTTCGTGGAGAGGTAGCTTTAATTTCAAAAAAAAAGAAAATATTTCTGTGTTCGCAAAATTCACACATCACAGAAATCAGATAAATTATTTGTTTGAAAACCGACCATGTGATGACAGCCTAGGTAAGAAAGTAGTAGGTAGTGGGAAAGACTGGCTAAAAGCAGAAAATCCACAAAGTACAAATATAGGAAATGAACCCCACAAAATACAAATATAGGAAATGAGTCACAGTGTTTTAATTTTTATCTTACCATCAAGCATCTGGTAAACATGAAGTCCTGCTGGTACAAACTTTGCCACACTAAGAATCATATCTCCTTCCCAAAAATCTAACAGCTACAGAATATTAATGGAAGAAAAGAGAACAATGAGAAGTAACATAAGTATCACATTTCCAGGTAAAAGAACACCACCGAACTATTTCTCATATGTTTAGATGATACGGGAAGCTAGCAAACGAGTATGCCCATCCCACCCAACACCAAAAGTGTGGCAAGAAGACATCACTCGTTGCTAAATTAGCCAAATCCAAAGATGGTCAAGCTCATCCATTAATGACTGGAGAATGCTGGCATACACCATGAACAACTGTACTTAATTTATGGGAAGACCACTTTTATCAGAAGGCAAACTGATCAACATGCCAGCCCAGAAATCTTTGTCCAAAAGAGCAAAAATCATTTGTTTAATTAGTACCATTCAGGGAAAAGCAGCATGGACTCTAGCACACATTAAAATTCTCAATAATCTGAAAGGAAGTTTTGCACCATAAATTCAAAAAGTGGCATTACCAGTTTCTATGGGACCATGGATTTGTTTTTTTAAGTTTCTAGATCCAAGACTCTGGGGGGACTGGTCATCTCACCAGAATAATATCACCCATAAAGTCAGTCCTATTTCGCCTCTCTCCACAATAGCACAAGGTAGTTCTCTTAAAAAGACATTTCCTGGGGCACCTGGGTGGCTCAGTTGGTTAAGTGTCTGCCTTCTGCTCAGGTCATGATCTCAGGGTCCTGGGATCGAGCCCCACATGGGGCTCCCTGCTCAGTAGGGAGCCTGCTTCCCTCTCTGCCCTTGCCCCGGCTCATGCGCTCCTTCTCTCTCAAATAAATAAATAAAATCTTAAAAAAAAAAAAATTTCCTCTTTACACTTGATTAGTTAACTGCACTATTCTTGTAGCCTCCCGCCAGGGGCTTACTTCTAAGATAACAGAGATGTGCACTTCAAACACCAGAAAGCAAACTGGAGCGAATCTAAAACCTATGAAAGTGAACAGGTCTGTTCCATATGAAAGGCCCCCCTAGACAGGGTCAGCTCCCCACGTCCACTTACACCAACACTGCGGGACTGGCTCAGGGATGAATTTTTAATGCAAAAATTTGGAAACATGGGGCGCCTGGGTGGCTCAGATGGTTAAGCATCTGCCTTCGGCTCAGGTCATGATCCCAGGGTCCTGGGATCGAGTCCCACATCGGGCTCCCTGCTCCTTGGGAGCCTGCTTCTCCCTCTGCCTCTCTCTCTCTCTGTCTCTCATGAATAAATAAATAAAATCTTTAAAAAAATAAAAATTTGGAAACATGAGGAAATTTTAGAAATCCTGATACTAATCCAAAACTGAAGTATCATTCAAATCAACTAAGGTTAACAAAGAAACTGGCTTGCTTTGCTTTGTACAAGAGAAAAATAGAAAAAAAGAAAGCTAATAATTTTGGGGATTGATGAGTTTGCCAGAAAATTCATTTATTTCTGCAAAAAATAAAAGCCTACATTTTCTTTTTTTTTTTTTTAGATTTATTTATTTTAGAGAGAGAGAGAGCACGAGTGAACGTGCACATGCTAGGGGGAGGGGCAGAGGGAGAGAGAGAGAGAATCTCAAGCTGACTCCCTGTTAAGTGCGGAGCCCGACTCAGGGCTCAATCTCACAACCCTGAGATCATGACCTGAGCTGAAATCAAGAGTCAGATGCTTAACTGACTGAGCCACTCAGGTGCCCCAAAGCCTACATTTTCTATTTTCCTTTTCCTTGATCAGGAAGTAGTGAGAGGTGAGGAAGTATGATCAAAAAGGACGGAAAGAGTAAGGAGACCAGGGCTGAGGCCTAGTTCTACCACAACCAGAAGTCTGACTGCAAGCCACTAGATCTCTAAATTACAAGTTTTTCACCTTTAAAATGGGATTAGCTTGCCTTTAGGTTACCCTGAGATTAAAGAACCAAAGGACATAATTTATATGAAAACACACTTGGGTCGATTACTTGGATGTAAGGATTTACAACAATGCTTGTTTTTACTGCACAACAGAAGGTATTTTCATCCCCTGAAAAATTTTAGTAATAAATGCTATCCTATACTTCGGAAAGGGAGAAACGTTAGTTGCTTGTTTGTTTAGTTCTTGTTTTTAGGCAACATGCTTATTTATTTACTTATTTTTTTAAGATTTTATTTATTTGAGAGAGAGGGGGAGATCGTGCATGAGTGGAGGGGCAGAGGGAGAAGCAGACTCCCCACTGAGCTGGGAGCCAGACCTGGGGCCTGATCCTAAGACCCTGGGATCATGACCTGAGAGGGCAGACACTTTACCAACTGAGCCAGCCAGGTGCTCCAGCAACACGCTTATCTTTTTACTGCTTCCAAAAAATAATTTTCTTTTACTTTCCAAAAAAGAAACAGCCTTATACTTTTTCTCTCCCCAAAATACATGTACCAGCCTTGATTCCCCCCCGAAAGCCTGCTGGCAGGACAGTGCGGGTCCCACTTGTGCAGAAGAGCCTCTCTAAAAGACGTACAAGTGAGGAGAGAACATGTGGGTCAACCCTCAGGAGTGGGAGATGGAGGATTTTCTTAAGTGCTTTGAAAAATAAATAGTTGAATCCTAAACAGGATTTCTGAAAAGGAGAATCCAGCCGGAGATGGACCTTAATGTCTAAATTAAGAGGAAGCAAGGCTAAATTACCTGAAATATTGACTGTCGAAGATCTCCTAAAGTTTTTCTTTTATCAAAGGTTAAATCCCACACACTTTCTGCTTGAGAGACGATTGGGTGCAGAGCCCCATTGAAGAAATGATAATGAGGGCCCAGGTGGAGATGCAACTCAAAATTATTGTTTGTAGAATCCCATTCTGCCCTTTAAAGAGGCATAAAAAATACATAAATGCTCTGTTTTTGTAACACACGGTTTCATCCCAAACCAAAAATACTTGATTTACAATATAAATAATCTATTCTACCTAAGTAATTATTACTAATGTCCTTTTCTTCCATGCTCCAAAATTTTCATTTTAGTTTCTCAATGAATAGCAAAATTTCAGCTCTGCCACCACGAATTCCAAGGAAAATGAATTTTAATATACACCATGCAACATTTCTCTAAGGATCGAAACTCAAAATCTTCCAACAATGGGAATATAGTTATAAATATGCTAGAAACCTTTCCTCCTGTAATTGTGGTAAGTGCCAAATTCACAAACTTCTAGTTCCTCCTTACCTCCACCAGAGCCCCCTGACTCTCCTGTAGAGTATTTAAAGTGGGTCTCACGATCCTCCAGTCTACTCTCCCCAGGTCGAACATCCTCAGCGGCGGCCCAGAGCTGGCGGCTCGTCTCTGAATCCGCTCGGCTGCCCTGGAGCTGCTGCCCGGCATTCCGCTCGAGGCAGTGTGGCCCCGGGAGAGCTGGATGAGGCCACGGTCACTGCTCGGATACTCCCGACACAATTCTATTCATGTGGTCAGAGACAGCGCTAGCTTTTCCGATGGCCGCATTAAAAAGCTTAGTGCTGGCTGGCGAAACCCCTTTGGTTGTGGCTGTGAACACCCACTGCTAGTCCGCACCCACTCACGAGGTTTGGCCTGTTTAAGATATTTTATCCTAGTTTTTATATTTTTAGTGTCTTGATTTCCTTTGATAGTGGTTTGCCATTCAATCTACCTGCTCCTTTTTTCCCCCAGTTTTGAGCCAATGATAAAAATGTTGAACACATCCTGGCTACATAATCAACCAGCCACGTGGGTCCACAGGGAAGCCACGTGGGTCCACAAGGAGGCCACGAGAACATCCACTTCCCTAACCCAATACCCCACTGACCCTGGCAGAGAGCAAATAAAGATACAGTTCCTCGGGGTCCAAGGTGAGACCTCAAAAGAGAAGATGAGATGAGCAACTCCTCACAAACCATGCCTGTGATAACCTATTACAGGTTTCTGCCCAGACTGACACGAAGCCTGGCAGTTTGCAGAATCCACATTCTTTCCTCTTGCCCACCTCTGGTCTTCTATCACTATGGGCCGGGTCCCCAAGACGACTTAACTTACGAGGGGTGACTTTCACCCAGGCTCTCTCTGCACCTCGGGAATCACCTGACGGTCTAGGATACAATTCACTTAACGTCCTAGGTGTTCACTGATTTCTCCAGGCTTCTGAGGCTTCATCCCTACTCAGCAGTGGCCATTTACGTGACATTGTTTCATTCACTCTCACAGATAAGGATCATTTCAAAGTAAGATACTCTGCCTATAAAAATTCAGCAGCTACACAGACACAGGCATTGATTAGTTGTTTTTTTTTCCTTTTTAATTTTCCTGACTGAAGACTTAAGACCTAAATGAGATCCTTGTTCTCCAGAAAAAAACCATTCAAACTCTAAAAGTAAGTTAAAATTACCTTTTTGTTTGCAGTTCAATGTTGGCTGCGTCCATTTCATTCAGCAAATGACATGGAACCCCGTATCTTGGATTAGCTCGAGCTGTGAACAGAACGCTTCATTAACTTGGGCTGACGAAATGGAATCTGGCTGCTGGGGATCTGGAAAGTATGTGCTGGGAGCTAGGAAGCCTCTAACTATCTTTGTGAATGCTAACTTCCTGTGGATCTCAGTTTTCCCATCTGAAATATGAAAACATTAGAACAAATGGAAGATAAACAGTTCTTTATGCCACGCTAGAAGGATTCCGTTTCTTCAATTCTCTTTAAATATACTTTTTAAAAAGAACACCCACTATTTTCTTCCTGATAACAAATGTAGTAATTGCCACCATAAAAATTCTAGAATATAAAAGATATTCTATATCTTTTATATAGAATATATAAAAGGATATAAAAGCTATTACCTATAATCCCATTCCCAAGAGATACTGCTAAAACGTGTTACATGTACTTCTGGTCTTTCTTCTGTACCTACACAACGTGTCTGTATGCGTACATTTACCCACACACACGCACGTACATGCACATACACACACCCACGCACACACTTACTTAAAGCGACTGGGATTGTATTTAATAAATCTGTAACGCGCTTTTTCACTTCATATTTGTATTTCTCCAAAGTTTTAAATGATTGCATACTAGTTCATTCTATAAATAGCATAATTAAACTAACCAATCTTTTTCTGATAGGTATTTCTAGTCATTATTATAAAATAATGGGAGTAACAAACATCTTTGAACATGAATATTTATACACAGCTCTGATTATTTCAAGACAGATTTGCAGAAGTAGAATTACCAGTTTAAGGTTTTTAAATACATATAACCAAACTGGTTATAGGACTTTATATACCTACCAGCTGTAGAGGAAGTGCCAACTGTCAAGAACAAGATTAACAAAAACATTTAACTTGGTAGGAAAAAGTGGCATATCTCATTGCTGTTTCAATTCCTATTTTTTGATTATGATTTTTTTTCTTTAATAAAGATTTTTTTTTTTTTTTTGAGAGAGAGAGAATGTAAGCAGGTGGAAGGGGCAGAGAAAGAGGGACAAGCAGACTCCCCGCTGAGGAGGGAGCCTGCCTCAGGGCTTGATCCCAGAACCCTGGGATCATGACCTAAGCCAAATGCAGACACTTACTCAGACTGAGCCATCCAGGCGCCCCTCATTTTTTTTTTTTCCAGTTTATTGGTTGTTCCTATTTCTTCTTTTGTACATTGCTTATTTATATCCTTTTCCCAATTTTCTACTAAGCACAATGAAATATCCGTAAAAGCACTCTGCAGATGGGAAATAAACTTGTCATATATTTAGCTGTTTCCCACTAGGCTTGTCATTTGCCTTTTATATTGTTTAAGGTTTGTAACACTTTTCCTTAACTTTTCTTTCTTTGTTTTTAAGCTTAGAAAAGTCTCCCCTACCTTTATATCAGAAATATATATTTTATACATTTTAAGGTTCCTTTTTAACATAAACACTAAAGGAACTCAAATTTCATTCAAGTGATGATTACAGTCACTTGACCACACTGACTGCTAATTCAAGGGACTGGCTGCTAACCAACTTCCCGCTCTATTTCTTGAGTAATTCACTCTCCTCCCGTTTATCTGAAAAATCACCTTACCATGGATTAAAACCTTTTTTTTTTTTTAAGGGAGAAAAAAAGCAGGGAGAAGGATCAGAGAGAGAGGGAGAAAGGGAGAAGCAGGCTTCCCACTGAGCAGGGAGCCCAATGCGGGGCTCGATCCCAGGACCCTGAGATCATGACCTGAGCCGAAGGCAGACACTTAACAACTGAGCCACCCAGGTGCCCCTAAAATTTTAAAAATACTTGGGTGGACTTCTGGGCTGGCTCTCCTCCATCCAGTGATGTGTCCACCTCTCTGCATGAGCACAGCACTGTCTGAATGGCTGAAGCTCTACAAAGAGGTTTTACTGATAGAGTCAATTCCCTTTGGCAGGCCCTTCTTCAGTTTTCATGAACGTTTACCTCTCTAGATGGATTTTAGAATCATTTTGCCAAGTTCCGTCCCTTTATCCCCACAAAAAGTCCATCAAGATTTTCGCCAGACCTTTATTCAATTCCTAAGCTAAATGGAAAACTACCATTCAGTACACAGTCAAAACATGCGCGTACTAAAATCCAATTCAGGGAAAAAGACAATACCCCATCTGAACATATTCTTTTTTTGTTAATATATATTTCTATAACTGTGAATTCTGCTTCAGAATATTTTTATCAGAGCCATGACTACATTTTTCCCCCGTCAGAAAAATAAAGCCTAGAATTTCTGGTTAAACAGAATAATTATGTAATTGTTTTAGAACCAGAAAGTTAATTTCCTTTGACTCACATGCAAATTAGTAACTTCTTTTTTCTTATACTTTTAAAAATGATTACTATTCTCATTTTCTGAGAACAGTGTCCTCATTTGTCACTACAGATACGCCTCTATCTAAGGAACTTTCCTGGTTAGGATTTTTTACTTTTGAGTAGACTTTGGGAAGCGACCAAAGTCTTACATACTGATTCATGTTAGTGATCTCAATTAATAAATTTATCATTGTGGGTCTCAGTGTTTAGCCAGCCTGGTACGAGCTGTCTTAGAAGGTTTAACAAAGAACGCTTTGAAGATACTTCAGCTGCTCATAAAACACATTAATTACCTTGAGGGAAAGAAAAAAAGAGGGCAATAAAAGGGCACACATGAAAACAAAACCAAGGCCACTTACAACTCAAAGGCGACAAACACATGGCCAAATGACAGAGCCAAGCCTAAGCATAGGGCAATCGTACGCAGGTTGGTCCACACAAGAAACCATTATGCAATCCAAGAAAAACCAAACCTGAAACACTAACTATGGCCTTATATCATTAGAAGGGGAAAAAATAAAATAGAAATATAAAATGATAGATTGTTGGATTTCTTTTGGTATAACGTATTTTTTTTTTTTAAAGATTTTATTTATTTATTTGACAGACAGAGACACAGCGAGAGAGAGGGAACACAAGCAGGGGGAGTGGGAGAAGGAGAAGCAGGCTTCCCGCCGAGCAGGGAGCCCGATGTGGGGCTTGATCCCAGGACCCTGGGATCATGACCTGAGCCGAAGGCAGATGCTTAACAACTGAGCCACCCAGGCATAATGTATTTCTTACTGTTAGCCTGAAAATATTTAAAAATGTTCCAAGAATATACTTTCTTTTAAAAGGGTAAAAATTCAAATAGCATTCAATATTTATCTTCTGACATCATCAACTTGAACAAATAGGAATATTTCTCTTTCCATACCTTCTGGGGGTCTCTGCAACTGGTATTTCCGATAAAACAACATGTAGGCACTTTCTTTACCCTGAAACTGCCGTTCAATATCTTTTTCCTTGATTGGTTGGACTTTGGAATCATTTATGTCAAACCAGTGGGGACAGGAGGTTCTATCATTTAATCCTGGGGATTCTGAAGTAAGTGTCTTGAAAATATGTTGATCATTCCTTTGGAAATCAGACTCAGCCTGGAGAGAACCGTTCTTCAATAGACTAACTGTACTTTCATCTGAACTGAGTAGAAATACCTGGGAATGAAGCTGTAAGAACTATACAGAGACAAAAAACAAATACTAGGTTAATAAAAAAATTTTTTTAATTGGACACAATAAAAAAATCTACATCTTCCTTTCTGCGACTAGATATTTGAACTTCACCTTTATTTTTGCCCTAGCCAGCTAGGAGGAAAAAAAAATCCATTTGGGTCATGGTAGAACATTAAATAAAAATCAGAGTGCTCTCTGTTAAACAGTCTAACAGTCACATCAAGGGACAAAGCTGCCACGCTGCAATCTGAAAAATATGTTAATTCTACCTCAGTAACACCATTTTTGAAAAAAGAACTTTACTGAAACAGATTAGGTAGAACAAACACTTCTGAGATGTTTAAAGCAATCTAAACAAACAAAGCACAAACAAAGGCAATCACACAGTAAAGCACCACAGAAGAGAATTTTCAAACTAGTAACTCATACAAACTCTGATGGAATAAAGTCATAATTATAAGCCTACATTGTCACGTAACATTAACTAAACCGAATGTTGTCTGTCCAGGGAACTGACAGGTTAGCTCAGGAAATCAAAGCACGGAAAGCTTATGTCTTAATCCCAAAGACTATTTCTCAAGTTCTAACTGAAGGATTAAGAAGAAAAAAGCATTTTTCCTCACTGCCCATCCCCCCTTTCCATCTCTACTCTTTTTCTCCTCTCACTCCCTGATTGCTGTGTGGCCTTGCGTCTCCTCTTCTCTCAGCACAAACTTACTTTATACAGAAAATCACTTGGGAGGCATATGCAACGTCTGCTTAGCCCATTAATCAATACGGAAAGGTGACTTTCTCATTTTCCACTTGGACAGGAATAATGTGCAGCAGTGCCAATCCTCTAATCAAAGTACTCTTTTATCACAAACAAAAGGAAATAGGTCTATGACGCAAAGACAATACTGTTAATACTGTGTATAAAAGATAGTAAAACAGTGTTGCAGCTAATTTGTTTAGGTACAATCAAATAACGATAATCAGAGAGTAGCCATTTTTTCCCTTTGTTTGAGAAGTGAGGATTAATTCTTTTCAGCCTCAAACTTCAGCAGAGTCTGGTTCCAGTAATGGTAGAGAACTTTTACTGGACTAACTTTTCTGATAAGAAATGATAAACTCTCGACAAAAAAATGAAAACAAGTATTTGGAGAATAACCAGAAACAGGCTTAAGCACAGGGGACATAATTCTTCAAGAGGGACGCAAACTAGGTGAGTTTTACATGAAGCCACTGGTTCCCACTTTATGGCGGCGCAGGGTGGGAGAGTTCAAGCAAAGGACAGGAGTCTTTTTTCTTTTTTTAATATTTTATTTATTTATTTGACAGAGAGAGACATAGCGAGAGAGGGAACACAAGCAGGGGG